TCACGTCGTGATTTCTCAGACGCACGCTCACGTCGTGATTTCTCAGACGCACGCTCACGTCGTGATTTCTCAGACGCACGCTCACGTCGTGATTTTGCGCTCGGCCACGTGTTTGAGTGGGACGAGCGTGTAGCTGGAACTGTTGGCGGCCCTGGGGGCCGGGGGGCAGTGGCTGTTCTTCGGATGGGATTTGTGGGCCGTGCACGAGGATTCGGTCCTGTGGACCTGCGCTTGCATTTCGTAGAAGCCAAACTTGCTCATGAGAAGGAAGAAATCCCTGCGGAAGGTCTTGGTGAAGATGGCGTAGAGGAAAGGGTTGGCGCAGGAGTTGATGGGGTAGAACAGGACTAGGAGGATCTTGGACTTGGACACCGTGATGAGGGGCACCTTGAGGGAAGCCGAGATAGCGAAGAAGGAGATGGGCGCCATGCAGAGGAAGTCGGTGAAGATGAGGATGGCCATGCGCTTGGCGATCTTGGTGTCACTCGAAGAGGACGAGACGTTGGGCTTCCTCACCGTGAGGTAGATGTGGGCGTAGCAGCCACAGATGACCACGAAGGCCAGGACGTTGAGCATCAGGAGGGACACGATGTAGAGCTGTGACAGGGGGCCGTCAAGGTCCATGGGCAGGCAGACGCTCACCCTCATGTAGCTGCTGACACCCACGATGGGCAGGAGGGCTACTGCCAAGGCGAAGGTCCAGCCCAGCAGCATGGCAGAGGCCGCGTGGCGCAGCTGCACCTGGCGGTCCAGCTGCATGGCGTGGGTGATGGTGTACCACCGCTCCAGCGTGATGGCCGTCAGCGTATAGACGGAGAGCTCGCTGCCGAAGACGGTGAAGAAGCCGGCCGTGTGACAGCCTGCGCCCGTCTGCCAGTCGATGGCGTAGTTGTGGTACTGGCCCTTGGTGTGGATGTCCACAGACGCGATGAGAAGCAGGTAGATGCCGATGCAGAGGTCGGCAAAGGCCAGGTTGCACATGAGGAACCGGGGCACGGTGAGCTTGTAAGGGCTGGCGGTCAGGATCACCAGCACGACGATGTTGCCCGTGACGGCCAGGATGCTGATAGTCCAGATGAGGACTCGGAGGACGTTGTGGCTCATGATGTCTTCACACGGGTTGAACGCGTTGGGCTTCGGGAAGCAGGTCACGTCGGCCACTTCAGTGCATAAGTCGTAGTCCAGGCCGCTAGACATCATGTCAACCCTGGCGCTGAAAGTGGGCTCATCAGCCTCCGCCAAAGAGACTCTCTGGCCTCTAGCCTGAGCCATTGCATCACCTTCTCGCCTTACTACAGATCTGTTGCAAATGGGGTGAAGCTCAGAGCTAGAAAAACACAAAAGGAATAGAGTCAACAGCTTGGATTCACATTATTGTCTTGGCTCAGAGTTAAAAGAAGGGGTTTCTTCCTGAGAAGTCTTCCCCTCCCCCCCAACACCTTTTTGCTAAAGGCTTGTCCGCCCTTGAAGTGAAGCTCAAGGATTAATGCTGCTTTCTGTAAATGCACAACAACGTGTCAATCTATTTCTCTAGATGGACAGCCCACTGGGGAGACCATCTGGCCACAACCTGAATGTGGGGAGGAAGGCGCCTGGGAGGAGCTAAAGCTTGCTGCTAAGTGCAAATAATTTACAGACCTGGTATCAACTCCAGCCTTGCCCTTCCTGGAGCTCTGTTGAGCCATCTCTTATATGCCTGAGGCACACATACCCCTGTTCCTCCTCTCCACCCTCCCACCACTGGTAGACCACCACTGTTTTCTGACCTAGAAGAGACCCTTTGTTTGCTTCGTCCCTCCATTTGACTTGGAGGTTTGGAGCATGTAGTTAGCGCCCTGCTAGCCCTGATCCACTGGGAATGGTTTGGAAAGGCCGCCTGCCTCTCTGGTCTCCAGGCCACCAGAGGAGGTAGTGTTCTGGAGGATTCTGGTCTTTGCTCTCTCTCACTCCCCAACGGCCACAACAGGCCTTAAGCATACATCTGTCTACAAGGTAAGCCCGCTCGCTTGTACTAAATAGATCCCTTGTGGGCGCCCAAAAGAGCAACTGCTGCTTGCAAAGAGGCCTCATTTATTCCAGGACTGTGATGCACCCCCTGGGGAGCCTGGTGCGCCTGGGTCTCCCTTTCCTCCCTTGCTTGTCCCTTTAGACTCAAACGTACAGGAAACCTTGTTGCCAGGGAAGTGACACTTTCAGAGGAGATTTGAAGTAAAGCCAAGTGATAAACATTCTACACATACAGATAGATCGGGCGAAGAGGGGAAAGAAAAAAGCAATTGTTTTGTTTCAAAGCAGAGGCTAAAGGAATGGGATGATTTCATACAGGGGCTAGTTTTGGGTCTCTCTCTCTGTGTCTCTCTCACATTCCCTTCTTTTTTCACTACTAGCTATGGGACAGACACACAGATATATGAAGTGATTATGGTTTGTTGTTTTTTTTCCCAACCCCATATCTCAGATCTGAGTAGGGAAGTGAATGCTAACACCCTTTAAGGACCTCTGAGATAGGAAGCCTGGTGGCTGGGGAGTGGAGGAGGTAAACGCCTCATTTAATCACAAGCAGTGCAGGCCTGCTAAGTGTCCCGACCTACTTGGACTGGGCTCTTCACCCTCAGAGCTGATGAGAAGGAGCTGCTTAGGGAGGCCCCTCTATCCCTGCTCTTCCTCAGAGGCTGCGGCAGGAAGGAAGCCGTTTCCCCGTAGCCCAGGGGACTTTTCTTTGGTAGGGAATGGTCTGTCTTTTGTTTTAGAGGCTTGTCATGTTAGTCACAGGTTGCTGTTGTTGCTGTTAGGTGCCATCAAATTGAGTAGAACTCATAGTGACCCTATAAACGAAAGACCTGAAACCTGTTCTATCTTGCACCATTCTCACACTTCCTGACACAGGCGCCCATTGCAGCAGTCAGTCCACCTGGTCAAGGGTCTTCCTCTCCTTCGCTGCCCTCCACCCTTCCCAACATCATGTCCCTCTCCAAGGAATAGCACCTCTTAGCAGTATGTCCAAAGTATGTGAGGTAAAGACTCATCATTCTTGCCTCCAAAAAGCTCTCTGGCTGCACGCTCTCTAAGACATTTCTATTTGTGTTCTTGGCCATCCATGGCATGTTCAGTGTTCTTCTCCAACATCACAGCTCAAAGACATCAATTATTTTTCTGTCATCCTTATTCACTGTCCAGGTCTCCGATGCGTAGCTAGTAACAGGGAAGACCATTGCCTGAATCAGATGCACCTTAGTCCTCAAACTGACCTTACTACATATCAGTAATTTGGAAATGTCTCTGACTGCAGATTTTCCCATTGCAATGCATCTCCTTATTTCCTGACTGCTTGTATCAAGGGTGTTAATTGTTGATCCAAGCAAGATGAACCTGTTGACAGTTTCAATCTCCTCCCCATCCATCATGACACTACCTGTTGGTCCAGTGGTAAGAATCTTTGTTTTCTTGATATTGAGACACAACCCACACTGCAGGTTGCATTCCTAGATCTTCTGCAACAAGTGCTTCAAATAGCAGGTGACTAATTTAGAGGCTGGAGGCTCTGGTTCATCACACTACTTCAGAAGGAAGGCTTGGCAATCTGTTTCTTAAAAACCAGCCTTTGAAAACCCCATGGTCACACTTACCTTCTGACACGCCCAGAGTTGCTCGGAGGCATAATTGACTCGGTGGCATTTGGCTCATAGAGAATGACTGGGCAGCACGGTATTATTAGGAAAAAGGAAGAGAGAGGGAGAGAAGGAGGGAGGGGTGAGAGAGGAGAGGAGAAGAAAGGAGAGAGAGAAAGAAAGTATTGGGAGGAAAAAAAGATAACTGGAACTGTAGGGCAGATTGTGTTTTAGTTGAGTCAGATGTCTTACCAGAAAGGTGAAGCAAGCTCGGAAATGGGCACACAGGGTGACAAGAGAGGCATCCTTTTGCCCTGAATCTAACGCCCAACTGACTCTTAAATCCTTTGATGGAGGTATCTGCGTTTCAGATCAAGGAATGGAAGTGAAGAAATCTGGGGCCTGACAACAATGATTCGGTTCATTGAACTGGACCAAATTTAAGCATCCAGAGACATCCTTTACTTCTCAGGGCTTAGCGGAGACACCCTGAGGACTGATGGTTGAGAATATCACCAGCTTTTTAGGTCTTGAGGCTCTGCTTTCGTACAAAGGAGTGGCCCAAGAATATCGGTGAGGACAAGATAGACAATATATCTCTCTGAGAAAACATCTACAGACATGGAAACCGAGGGAGACGGGTCATGTCTCTGCAGGGCTGCGGCAAGTTCTAAGCTTCCTAAATAGTGGACACTCATCCAGGGTAGTTTAGATTGTACTTTTGTACCCTGTTACGGATTGAGGTGTATCCTCCCAAAAAGATTCACGTTGGAATCCTAACACGTAGTGCATTACATGATGTGCTCAAAGGTCAAGGGTTCAAATCTGTGAGCCCCTCTGTGGCAGAAAGATGAAAGTCTCCTCTCATAAATATTTACAGTGTCCAAGACCCCACACAAGGTCATCACTGGCAGCTAGGATTGACGCAGTGACAGTGGGCTTGGTTTTTGGTTATACCTATGTGTACCAAAGGTAGGTGGTTCGAATCCACCAGTTCCAGTCTCTGGTGGAAAGATTGGCAGTCTTCCTCCACGTAATTAACTGCCTCTAAAGATCTTCTGGAGGGGTCATCTGTGTGTCGGTTCTGACGCTATGGTATCCACCAACAACATGCATGTAATATAGAGCTCTGGTGGCCTGGTGGGCAAGGAGTTGCCTGCCAATCTGAAAATCCTGTGGTTTGGATCCACTAGCTGCGGCATGGACGAAAGATGGGGCAGTCTCTTCCCATGAGGCTTACAGCCTCTGAAACCCCCTGGAGATTCAAATATAATAAGTCAGTTCCAACATCATGGCAAAGAGAGAAAAAGATGCATGTAATCTCATTTGGAAATACAAATGATTTATTTATTATGTTAGTCTGCTGTTAGGGACCTCTCTGAAGTACTGAAGAGCAATGGTGTCTCTCTGGAGACTAAAGTGCGCCTGATACAGGCTGTAGTCTTTGCAATCACTTGCTATGCATCAAAGAGTTGGACAATGACTAGGGAGGATAGAAGTATAATCGACACCTTTGAACTGTGGTTTTGGACAAGAGTATTGAGGGTACCAGGGACTGCTAAGAAAACGAACAGGTTCGTCCTGGAGAGGGTTAAACCAGGCTGCTCCTTGGAGGCAAGGATTCTGAGGCTCCGTCTGACATACTTTGGACATGTTGCAAGGAGGGACCAGTCCTTAGAGAGGGACATCATGCTTAAGAGGGTGGAGAGACAGCACAGGAGGGGAGGACCCTCGAGATGGATTGATTCAGTGACTGGAGTGGTCAGAGTGGGGGTATTGGAGACAGTGCGACTGGCACAGGACAGAGCAGGGTTTAGGGCTGTTGAACATAGGGTCGCTATGAGTCGCAACAACTCAATGGCATATAGCAACAACAACAAACCTACATCATTTCAGGGATACCTTAACCCTTATCGGTTCTGAGACACAAAAACAACAGCTTAGACGCAGAGGGAACCACATTGCCATGGAGTTGATTCCGACTGGAAGCTACCCTAGAGGATGGAGTAGAACTGCCCCCCAGGATTGTCCAGGCTGTAACTCTGTATGAGAAGGAATTGCTTCATCTTTATCCCGTGAAGTAGTAAACACGCTCATCTTTCAATTAGCAGCTTAATATTTAACGCACAGCATCACCAGGACACCTGACTCAGAGAAAAGCAAGCACCAACCGGGGAAAGTTGGATGCTTGATGGAGCCCCGAGTAAGCTCCCCCCCCGAGAAGAAGCGCAGTGGAGAAGCAGAGATGGGGCTTCCTCCTTGGAGCGCACACAGAGAGCCTTCCTGTGGGGATGACACCCTGAATTCAGACTTCCAGCCTTGTAAACGGGCAGAAGATAAATTACCGTTTGCTGAAACCACCCATTTGTGGTGCTTCCATTACAGCAGGACGAAGATACACCTCGATCAGTCATGGATGCCTGAATGTGCTGTAGTCAATTAACACATGTCGCTTTTCTAGTCTTTGGCTTTGACGCATGCCTGCACGGTGATGCTGTTATGTTTCGTGGGGTCAGAACCAACTCAAGCTGGCCCTGCAGTGGGTTTTCAGAGGCCATGTGTCTCACAGGAGACGGAGCATCCCGTCTTTACCTCGCGAAGCAGCTGGTGGATTTGAACTGCCTGCCTTTGGGTTGGCAGCACAACTCCTTACCCACTAGGCCCTCAGTGTAGGAGTAAACAAATGCGAGGTGGCTGAGTGAGACTATATAACTGTAACAGTGCTTGTGTCCTACCAAAGGAATTGGACCGCCTGCTAATAATGGGAATAGCAACTTTTGGGGTGGCGTCAAAGCCACTCCCCATGATTAGCCAGTTCTGCCATCCTGCTGAGCAGATTCAGAATCTGAAATCAGGGATCTCAGTGACATCATGAAATAAGCAGCTGCAAGCACGGGGAGGTGCGTGGGGCCATGTCTGACCTCGTAGGAACTGGCTCTGTGCTGTTGATGGCTTGATGGGGAGTCTTCCCCTTTGCGAGCTGCTGCAGGTCAGACTTTCCTGCACTCCTGCTGCTAACAGTTTTACAGTGGGCGTTTCTGGAAAAGCAGTAGCCCAGGCCCTGAGCTTCAGAGACAGACAGGCTACAGGATTTTAATTTGAGCCTTTACTGGTTTACGGTTTCTAAACTTTAGCGTCGACATCCATGAGAAAGGACTGATAATAAAAGTATTAAAGTTAGAATACCAAATTGCAAAGCATTAGGATGGCTGCAAGAGAACGCATAACAGGTGCCAGCATGAACCTCTGTTTGTGGGATGACTGAGGTCTTGGGGTCTAGGCCCTGCGTGAAGACGTAGATGCACTTGCCACACAGCCTCAGTGTCAAGTCAAGCTGTGGAGAAGAGACCTTCACACAAGAAAAAGTCACCAGTATCAATGCAAGAGCAACATGAACAATGCAAGCCAAGTACAGGACCCTCACAAGGTCCTCTCTGGTTCAATGGCAAATGCAAGTGTGGTTGGCATGCTCTGGAGTGAAAGTCCAAGAGGACCATCCGGTCAAAACCTCGGTAACCAGAGCCCACAGTTATACTCAGGACTTTATTTCCAAATGACAGCTGGAGGAGCAATTTCATCACACAGCTTGAATCTTAGTACCAAATAATACCTCCAGTGCCATGCCGTGAAAACATTGTGTGTGGTTTTTTTTTTAATTACTGTAGTTATCTTTTGAGTAGTTGAATTAGTTTGCATTCTGCTTGGTTGTGTGTGTTGTAGTTTGAGTAACTCCACCGTGGTATACCTTGCGAGAAGAGGCATGGACCTTCCCCTGAACGTCCTGGTGGTAAGATGTAACCAGGCCCTGGGAGAGTGTGAGGGCAGGGACAGCTAATGGGACAGGGGGGTCGGGGGAAGGCTTTCTGCCATGGGATACAGAAGCTGAGCCCTGCAGCTAGGTCTGCCGGAGGTTGCAGGGCCGGAGGAGTGCGCACAACACAGCAAGATGAGAAATTCCTGGGGCGTGTTGGAGCTGGGCCAGGCAGCAGATCGAGTGCCACTCTCCCCGTGATCTTACCTCCTTTGAGATTTATCTTGAGGGGCATTCAGTTGCAGGGATTTAGCAGCAAATTGGTGTCTTTTTTTTTCTTTCCCTGGATGGAATTCTTAACTGGACTGAAAAAGAGACAAACCTTCTGCTTCAGTCTGGGGCTGTTATAATTCTAATCATTAGGAAGAAATCCCCGGGCCCTTGAGCTAATCCATGAGAAGCGGCAGACGCTTCAAGTGGGTCAGAGTGCGGACTCTCAGTTACTTGGAAAATATTCTCGGGTGTGTAGTTTTCTTTTTGTTTGTTTTGGTTTTGAGCAGAGGGTATGTCCACATGCACAGTTCCTTGTCTGTTAAAGAAGGAATAATAAAGTGTGTTAAACAGAAAATCCTATCACATGGAATCTGTGTTAGTTCTGTGCTGCTGTGTAAGGTCTCATTGCTGTGGTGGTGGTTGTTGTGTTCTTTCAAGTCAGAACTGGCCCATAGCTGACCCTCCAGTAGGTTTTCAGAGGCAGTAAATCATACAGGAGGCGACTGCCCATTCTTCTCCCAAGGGGCATCTGGTGGATTCGAACTGTGTGCCTTTGGAATTTCAGCTCAGCTTCTTACCACTAGGCCACTAGAGAGCCTAGGGCCATAGAGACCCTATAAGATAGAGGAGAACTGCCCATATAGGGTTTCTTAAGCTGTAACCATTATGGGAGCAGATTGCCAAGTCTTTTTATTGTAGAGCTGCTGGTAGATTTGAACCTCCAACCTTTCAGTTAGCAGTCTGGCACATAACCATGGTTCCAAAGGGCTCCCTATGAGTCTGAATTGACTGGGTGTGTATAACAACAATTATTATGTACATAAGGGCACTGACAATGCATCGCTCCATGGAGTGCAGTGCAGAGGTCAGTAAGAGCTTAAAGCCAGTAATTTCCTGTTTCCAATGGATGCTTCAAAGATTTGAATCATCTTCATTCATTTTCCATTCTTTCTACCTCCTATCTACTGTCTTCCCAGTTTTTTTAACCAGTTATCCATTGGGACTGGTCTCTGTTTGGATGGTTTTGTTGTGTCCCATTGAGTCAGAGCTGACCCTCTCCGATGGGTTTTCAGAGGCTATAAATAGCCTGGGAAGAGATTGCCCTCCAATCTGGTGGGTTCAAACAGTGTGCCTTTGGGAGTGCAGCACAGTTTCTTACCACTGGGCCACCATTACCCTCTTTAAATCCTGGTTGAAAAATCTTAGCATCCTCTAAAGCCAGAGAAATGTCCCAGCTTTGTTTGTCCTTTGAGGTGCTAAGATGTGAAGGGGATGTTAGAGGCTGATAGTGGGTGGGGTGTGTTGCTGTGTGTGTGTCAGTGTGAAGTATTGGAACTTCTCTCCTCCCAGATGAACCTTGATTGACAGTTGTTGCCATTATGAGCTGTTGAGTCAGAATCGCCTGATAGCGGACCAGTCAGTGGGTTTTCAGGAGCAATAAACTACGTGAGAAGAGACTGCCCATCATTCTCCCACTGAGCAGTTGGTGTATTCAAACCGCATGCCTTTGGGGCGGAAGTGCATCTCCTTTCCCACTAGACCACCGGCGCTGTCTTGGTGAGAGTATGCTAGAACACTGATGGGTACAAAGTTTGAGATTTGAAGGACAAATCCATACATAAATACAAAGGAAAAGAGGATCACCCTTTTAGAGATTGGTAGTACCAGTGGCATGCTGGGCTTGAAAGGTGTGCAGTTTCCTCCCTTAAAGATTTCTGGCTTCAGAAAATCCTATAGAGGGTTGCTGCGAAGCAGATTCACTCAAACAGTGGTGACTTGGGTCAGACACTGCTTGGTCTTGTCTGTGTTGTTTAATACGTGATAAGAGTTGATAAAACTACTGAAATAGTCTGCTCTTGGGTGTCCAACTTCTTAGATTCCCTCAACAAACCAAATCATTGATTCAGAATGTGTCCAAATTATAGCCTTTAACAAACCAAACCACTGATTCACAATGTGGCCACGGGCTTCAGTGTGAGTGATCTCTCAGGGAACAGATTCTCTTCATGTCCCAGATATGCCACATATACAGATCCAGTTCTGCAAGGAGGAAATGCCCAGACGGGGCCCAGGGGAGGGGGCGAGGACTCACCTCTGCCGGTTCCAGTTGGCAAAGGCGCAGCAGTGACTGGGGTAGGTCAGGCTGGCTTCCACGAGGGCAACAAACTTCTCCAAGCTGGCAAGCTTCTTCAAGTGGTAGGCAGAACTGGCCTTCAGCTTCTTGAGGTTTTCTAAGCCACAGCGAGGCAGCGAATGGATCCTTGTTCTTGAGATATCTCTGTAAGGAGAGAAAAGAGGTGTGGTCTGATGTTTACGTTTCTGCTTGGGTAGCCGTCAGGGGAGCGGGTGTTCTAGTGACGTGCTTACGCGAGTGAGGAGGATGAATCCCATTCACGCAGTTATTCTAACAGGACCAGCGAGCGGTTCAGGTAGAAGCTCTGGCCCCGTGTTTCTCGTAGGAGGAGTTACACAACCCAGTGAGAAACCCAGAGTTGACTCTGACTCCCGTGTTCGTGCAGGACTTGGGGAATTTCTGTGGCTGGATTTCCAAAGTAGATCACTGGGCCCCTTCCTCCTAGTCTGTCCTAATCTGGAAGCTCTGCTGAAACCAGCCCACCACAGGTGACCCTGAACAAATTTCACGTATTGGTGACATAGTTTCCAGTGTCACAGCACCGAACAAGCCATGAGAGTATGACACACTGACAGATGGGTGATGATGAACAGTCAGTCGCTGTCGAGTTGACTATGACTCCCAGCAACCACATGTGCGTTGTAACAGAACTGCGCTCCCTGAGATTATTAGCGGTTGGTTTGTAAGAAACAGATAGCCAAGGCTGTCTTCTGAAAAGTCGCGAGGAGGACTCAAACCTTTAAACTTTTGCTGGACAGTAGAGCATGCGAACCATTTGCATCACCCAGGAACTCCAGGTAGATTACAGGCCACCCTGAATCTTGAATACACTTGAGGACCAGCTGCTCTGAGGCTTCGCTACGGTTGGGTGCTGTTGCATTACCTGGGACTCACAGCAATCCTGTGATCAACAGATTGAAACCTTGCCCGACGCTGCCCCGTCCTCACAATCCCTGCCATGGTCAAGGCCATTGTGGCAGGCACTGTGCCAGTCTGTGTCGTTGAGAGTCTTCCTCTTGTGTGCTGACTCTCTGCTTTTTCTGGCATCGTGTCCTTTCCCAAGTAGCGGCATCTACGAACAACATGGCAAAGTGCGTGAGACCAAATGCCACTCTCTCTGCCTTTAAGAAGCTCTTTGGTTGCTCTTTCTCCAAGACAGATTTCTTTGTTCGTGTTGTGGTTCATGGAATAATCAATGCTCTTTGACAACGCCACAATTTGAAGGCATTTTTGGTTGCTACTGTGGGTGAGTAGAATTAACTGTCTCTTTTTCTGTAGCGGATCTTGTGGTTGTTGTTGTTGTTATGTGCCATCGAGTGGACTGTGACTCATAGTAACCCTATGAACAATAGCCCTGAAACCTGCTCTACCCTGAGCCAGCCTCACTGTCTCCTACACACTCACCACTGATTACCCCAGTTACTATGTCAGTCCATCTCATCCAGGGTCTTTCTCTACTATGGTGTCCCTCCACTTTTACAAGCATGATGTCCTTCTCCAAGGACTGGTCCCTCCTGGTCACATACCCAAAGTATATGAGACGGCTTCAAAATCCTTGCCTCCAAGGAGTAACCTGGCTGCATCCTCTCCAGGACAGACCTGTTAGTTCTCTTGGCGGTCCATGGTATGTTCAATACTCTTCTCCAGCACCACAACTCAAAGACATCGATTCTTCTTCTGTGGTCCTTAGTCATTGCCCAGCTCTCTGATGCATAGCGAGTAATAGTGAAGACCATGGCCTGGTTCAGGCACACCTTGTTTCTAGATTGACATCATTGATATCATCACTCGGCAGAGGTCCCTGACAGCATATTTACCTAATGCAACACGTTTTTTGTGTTTTGTTGCTTTTTTTTTTTAATTTCCTACCTGTTGGTGCAAAGAGTGTTGATTGTGGAGCTAAGCAAGCAGAAATTGTTAACAACTTCAGTCTCTTCTCCATCCATCATGGTGCTCCCAACTGGCCCAGTTGTGAAAATCTTTGTCTTCTTGATGTTGAGCTTCAATCCATATTGGAGATTGCAGTCCTTGACCTTCTGTAGCAAACACTTCAGGTCCTCCTCAGTTTCGACGAGCAAGGTTGTGTCATCTCCATAACTCAGGTTGTGGGTGAGTCTTCCTCCAGTTTCATGTGAGACTTGCGACTCGAAAGCGTAAGTTGAGTTGGGTTTGAGGGATTGAGATAATTCACCCTTCCCCACTCTAAAAAAAAATAATAAAATCATGACACTAACCATAAACATATTCAGGTGATCTTAATGAAAATCTGTGGCAAAATTTCTTCGGGGTGGGGGGAAGATAAAAAGAAACATAAGCTAGGGAGAGGGGAGACTGAAGCTATCGGAGATGGCCTTAACACACGATGGTTGTACAGAATTTGGTTGTTGGCCAGACATTTACCTACGTGCCCCAGCTCCTCCGCTGATTAGATTTGTGACCTTGATTGGTCTGTATCAGTTGCCTATATCTCTTTTTCCTCTGCTGGCAACTCTTAATCATGTCCACCCCAGAAGATTGCTTTGAAACTTGGAGTTATCAGGAGGGGTCAGTCCTTAGGAAAGACATCAGATTGGGACAGGTGGCAGGTGAGGGAAAGAGAGAGACACCTTTAACAAAATGGATTGCCAGTAACTCTTGGTGGGCTTGAGCATATCAGAAGTGGTGAGGGTGGTGCAGGACTCTTAGGATCAGTTCACGGCATGACCGTGAGTCGCAGTGGCACCTAATGTCAATAACGAATGTGCTGCAAAGGACTTCTTTAAAGTGCTGAAGAGCAAGGATGTTATGTGGAGGGCTCAGGTGCACCTAACCTCACCCACAGCATGTCCAGCTGTCTCATACACATGCCGGTGCCGGACAGTGAATAAGGAAGAATGGATGCCTGTAAACTGTGGTCCTTGCTAAGATTGTTCACTACGCTATGAACTTGCGGAGGACCAGACGCCTTGCAGGTGTTATAAGTGCAGCTAGAATGCTCTTTCAGTGACAGTGGTGAGGTTTTGTCGCACACACTTTGGGCATGTTCCTAGGAGAAGTACAGCATGCTTAATAGAAAAAGAAATCCCAGAACCATGGCCACTGAGCCTATTCTTCATAGGATTTCAGAGGCTGTAAATCTTAATGGGAGGGGACTGCCCCTCTTTCTCCCACTGGTAAAACAGAAAGTCTGTGAAAAAGAGAAAGAGTCTCAAGAAGATGGACTGACAGACTGTGCATGAGCGCAGCAAAGATCTGGGCAGGGTTTTGTTCGGCTGCAAATGCAGATGCAGCGAATCAGATCACACTTGATGGCACCTAACAAGAGCAACAAAACACACACGGAGTCTTCTGGGCAACAGAAGGTACTGAGCTCTGGGCAGTGTGGTTAGTACACAGATGAAGCGGAAATTGTTCATGTTTGTTGGGGTGTCTGCTCCGTAGGTCCAACAGGGGTCGTCATGGATAATGACCATTATTATACAATGGAAAATGATCATTATTATACAAATGGGCAGCTTCACCAGGTCTCTGTTCCTGGAGGCCTCTGAAGCTCATCTTTTCTAGAAGTAACACCAGTGATATGGCTGCAGCACTGTTGGGGGCAGCCCTGTCAGAAGCAGCCAAGACCAGGTGGTAGGAATGAGGAGATCTAAGTGGCCCTCGTTTGGACCTCTTGGGCCAGCACTTGTGCAGCTTGGCCAATAGTGGGCACATCTGATGGCATTAATAGCAAGTGACCACTAGGACTTGGTCCATTTCAGCACTTTTGGATGTACTTGGGGGGAAGCCAATACCCAGGTCCTAATGCATCTGTCCATCTCTCCACCCGAATGGTACCCATCCATCCCTTCTTCTACCTCTGCATTGTCATTATGCTTTTCAATACAATTTACTAATAAATCCCCCTAACTGCTATGAACTTTGTTGTTATGTACCATCGAGTCGGAACTGACCCATAGCTGACCCTTCAGTCGGTTTTTAGAGGCAGTTAATCTCACGGGAGGAGATTGCCCAGCCTTTTCCCACGGAGCAGCTGGTGGTCTTGAACCGTGTACTTTCAGGATTGCTACTAGGCCCCCAGTTGTTGTTGTTAAGTGCAACTCATAGCAACCCCATGCCACCAGAGCTCCCTATAAACTTTAAGACCATCAACTACCTTCTTCCTCAAGTCTCAGCATTGCCTGCTGTTGCTATTAACACCTTGTTTGAGATTTAGAAGAAATTCTTTGTTTAGAGCAAATTATTATCTAATAACTACTAAGTGCTTTGTAACTAGAGGAGTCTGAGTGATGCCGTGGTTAAGCATTTGGCTTCTTGACCAAAACATGTGCACCCACCAGTGGCTCTATGGGAAAAAACTGTGGCAATTTACTTCATCAACTTTACAGACTTGGAAACTCTATGGGGCAGCTCTGCCCTATCCGCTAGGGGTGTGCTGCAGTCAGAATCAATTGGACACTAATAGATTTAAATTGATTTTCACCATCAGCCTTCTCTGGAAAATGCCAAGTAGCTCAAATTTGTCAATGGTCTGGTTCAACACTTCTATATAGTCACTATCTTCAGTTATTTGCTTGCTTGTTTTTTCACTTCTCAGATAAGTACATTTTAATTCTTCTATCGTGTGTGTGTGTGTGTGTGTGTGTGTGTGTGTATGCTTCTTTTTCGTGTTATATTTTTTTGGTGTTTATGATTTTGCATTCCCCCTTCCCCATTTTTCAATATTCATTTACATTACTTTAGGGGTTTGGCTTTAGGAGTATTTAGCTCCTGCTCTGCCGACTCAAAGGCACACACACTTCGAGTCCACCCACTCCTCTACTGGAGAAAGATGAGCCGGTTTCCCTCACGTGATCCACTGCCTCTGAAAATCCCCTCAGCTTTGAATGGGTTCCAGCTCGATGGGACCTCATAACAGCAACAAGCAGCATTACGGTTAATTCCAATTTTATGCCTTTACAGACATTGTTCTCATGAAATAAAAAAACCCCAACAACATAGTTTATGACTATTTTAGGCATTTCTTCTGGGTGTTTACCTAGAAAAGGAATTGCTGGTCCAGACAGCTTCCACATTTACATATACACCAGCAGTTTGTATGTAAAGTTACCAGGTTCTCCACACATACGTTGTGATAATAATTTTATGTGTAGACGTAATTAGAA